GGTGAGCAGCACGTTCTCGCACTTGAGATCCCGGTGCACCAGGTTGCGGTCGTGCAGGTAGCGCACAGCCCTCACCACCTGCACGAAGATGTCCCGGGCCTTGGGCACGCAGGGCAGCTTTCCCAGGTGTTCCACCAGCTGCAGCAGGGTAGTGTCCATGGCCTCCATCACGATGTAGAGCTTCCTGTTGCAGACCTCGATGAGCTCGAAGACGTGCACGATGTTGGGGTGCTGGATCTTGCGCACGATGGAGAGCTCCCGAGGCAGGAACTTGTACACCACGGCTCGGGATGCTCGTTGCCGATCCACCACCTTGACAGCCAAGGGGCCCTTGTGTTTGCTGGAGGTGGCTGCTTTCACCTTGGAGAAGCTGCCCTCCCCTATCGTTTGACCCAGCCTGTAGCCCAGCTCATTAAGTAGCTTTTCTCCTCCATCGTTTCTTGGCATGATTTGTGATCCCGATGGGCTTGATCAGAGCTCATGTCTTGCTCCAGAATTTGAAAGGTGTGATGTCTGGTGCATGGCAGCTCTCAACCTTCGCCTATGGCAACCACTGGTTCCACGGATGCCTCTGTGGGTTCCACGCCCCTCCCAGGTATTGTGATGGTGTGGAATGTTGTGCGGCAACACCTTTGTGCCATGACATGAGTGTCTGGTGTGTCCCCTCTGCTCATGAGATGCCCACACGCACGGTGGGGAGTTTGGGCTGGGGATGGATATTTCAGGTTTTTCAGCCTGTTCTCTTGAGTTCTCAGCATAGGGCTATGCGGATGAAGAGAGTTTAGTTGTCAGTTTTCTGGGATGAGGGACCCATTTGGGCCCCTGTACCGGTTTTCTGCAGGTTATTAGTTACATTAAAATCCAAACTACACAGAGTGGTAAAAAGGAGTGACTTCTACTGGCACTAACTGCGAACCACCTTGGCTGGGTATAAATACTACCTTCTTTTTTTTTTGTAATAGTGCATGGAGCTATTACTAGGAAGGGTTTCTGACCTTGTGTGGTGTGGACAGGGAACTTTAAATGCATCTTTCAGAAGGAAGAGCTTTTCAGTTTCTTGAGCTTGCAATTTCTCTCCATCTATTTTTATCAAAATTATATTTTCGAGACACAGAGAAGGAGATTTTAAAAGCTTTTAGTCAGTTTTAGTTGCCATAAGGTGGCTGTCAAATTGAGCAGAGGGCAGCTGGGCTGGGCTACAACATCCACTCCGAAGAAAAGCATCCTTCCCATCACACGCTGCATCTCAGGACTCCTTCCTACAGGTGCTGCATCATTTTTCACCAACGGTTGTTTCTGGTTTGTGCTGTTTTTCTTAAGCTACTCGAGGATCCTTTCTTCCCTGCAGAGCTCACATATCCTTTCCAGCTGTACAAAGAAGCCTAGGACCACAAAACCCCCGTCTTCCTATATACCAACCCAAATGCTATTTTTAATTTTTGAATATATGTTTCACTTTTCAAGCTGGTTTTGAAGAAGAATAGTAATCAGCTGAAGACGGAAGAAAATCTTTCTGGTAAGTCCATTTAGTCAGTATTCTGGGGTGACTTGAGGAAATTAAATTAGCTGAAAGCCACAAACACAGGTCTATGTATGCTGTGGGGTGCTTTGCTCTGATGTTAAGAGCAAGTAATGTAACCACCATGTCGAGTTTTACCTGCCTAGAAGTCGTGGGTCCAAACCAAACCACTTTCCCACTTCAGAAGCTATTTCTACAGGCCATTTGGGAGTATGGGTATTCAACATGCTGTGGAAGTGTGGTTTACCAGGCATGGACCATCAGGCTCTACCATCAGACGTGCCACCAGAAGGCCAGGCAGGCAGCATGTACATTGCATGATGAAGGATTTGCTCTTGGGCAGGGGCTACACTGCCTGGTAGCATGCCAGATCAGACTGGACAGGGCTCTGAGGAACCTGATCTAGTTGAAGATGTCCTTGCTCATTGCAGGAGGGTTGAACTGGAGACCTTTAACTGTCCTTTCCAACTCAAACTATTCTGTGGCTTTACGCTGCCCACTGAAGAACACCCTCAGTCCATTCTTATCTCCCCTGAAGAGAGCGCAGGCCATTTAACAGCAAGGATCTTGCCTGGGGCTGGTGTCTTTGTGGAGGCTGAGTGGATGAAACCTCACACACATGCAGAAGTGCAGGACATTTACCCAGCCAGTGTTCCTTTTCTGTTTGGGCCTTCAAATAAATGCCCCCAGATTCCTTGTTTCCAAAGCAGATCAGAAAGGAGACATTCCCAGAAGTTCCCATTCAGAAGCTGTGGTTACTTAAACACAGAACCATCCCACCTAGCAATCAGTAGGCCAGATCCAGAAAGCTGGATATGCATGATTTCCTGACACATTTAGCCTGTGAGTCATAACCACAGTAACTTCAGCAGAGGCCTGAGCTGGACTTTTGGGAGGAGCCAGAAATTTTGAGGTGGCTAAACATAACTAAACCAATGTTGGGCATTTTTACAAGGGAAAATGCTTAGACCAGGTGTCCCTTCGTCACTATCAGAGCACCTCTGGAAAAATGCCATTGCATGCTTCAGTGTGCAGAAAGATGTGTTTCCAGATGTCTGTAGGGGCTTGGATGATGCTCAGTATGTCTTTTAAAATAGAAATGGACAGTCACATTAAAGGCATGTTCCCAAAGCTCACAGGTAAATCTTTGCTTATGGGAAACCCCTTTGAAGCCCCTATAGTAACACAATCAGAAGAGGCAGTGCCCAAATCGCTGCGGTAAAACTGAAGTGGCAGCTGCAAACCAGGTTGCAATGGTAAGGAGTAATGTTGTGGAGCTCTGTACTTCTGTAATTCTCCGTCTGCTTGAGGGAGCAGGTCACTTTTGGGAAGTTTTCTGCAAGCTTGGCTGAAGTGGGCAGTTTCAGTCTCAGCAAGCCCTTCTCAGAGCCCAGAAAAAGCCTTGTGCAGTTAGTTAGATGCAGCTGGAGCATCCTGGGGACTGAAGGGCTTGAAGGAGACAGGAAAGAAAGCTCTGGTTCCCCAGGAAGGAAACAGCTATTGTAGCAAACACTCCCCCTCCTGTACGCTCCAGGCTGAAGCTCTGTGAGCTGTCTTGTCTGCAAGCATCACTGTGCTCCTGCCCCAGAGCTGACAGCGTGGCCTGGGACTGATGCAAACAGCTCCAAAGACAGACAGCAAGAGGCATGGATGAGAGGTTTTGGTTTGGTAGGGAACTGTCAGGCCGAGGGGGAGGAAAGACAGCTGAGCTCAGCTTTCTGTGCTGTACTTAGATCTCAGAGAAACAGATTTTTGCCTTGTTGGCTGCTGGCTCAACATTTGTTGGTGTAAAAATCCACCAAAAAAATTTCTTTTGCTTTCAATCCTTGCACCTCAAGCACTGCTAACTGTGATGTAAATATTTAGGTCACACCAGTATACTTTAGTAGTGTACTCAGTACCAACATATATAAAGGGATGCTGAGCTTCTGCTCTTTCTGGTGCATTTTTTGCATCAGAGCTGTGCTTGTAGAACTTACTTATTCCATTGCTCTTGTTAATGAGAGTAATTAGAAGCCAGGCAGCAATTACTGGTAAACATGGTATGTGAGCAGGAGGAGCTGGTCTGCAGAGGGATAAATTATTGGAGCTCACTGTCAGGGTTTTCATTAAGGGACGTTTCTGACTCTGGTGGCATGGTTGTGCATCAGTCTGGCATGCAGTTAGTCCCTCTGCCAAAGGGTGTAGCTCCTGAAGGACCATCCAGGCTGCTGTGCCCAGAGAGCTACCTGGTGCCCCAAAAGCAACTCACCTACTCCAAACTCAGCATAAGCCTCTGAGTAAGTTCATTTGGGTGAGTCCTGCATTACCCAGGAGGGGACTGATCCCCAGACACCAAGCTGTGCTGGGCATCTCCCATCAGAACCAGGAGGAGCTCTGAGTTAACCTTCTCTGGGCCCCAGGTATGACACAATTACACCATAAGGGTTTCCCTCCAGGTAACTCAGCCTTGCTGAGAAGCAGCTGAAGGTCTTTAGCTTTCTGCACAGAGTACAGCTACCTTCAACTAGAGAGGAACACACAAGCCATGAGATGTAACAGAGGACAGATCTTTTTTCTTTCTGCATCATCCTATAGATTTTTTTCACTAAAAACATACCTGTGCAGTCCCTTTTGGGGGTACTGCCCTCTTGCTGAGCCTCAAAAGGCAGCGCAACCTCAGTGTAATTACTGAGACACCAGATGAAATGCAGTATGGCCAACAGGGGAGCAAACAAGAGAGCCATTAGATGCTTTGGGAACTTCTCCCTCTCCCCTGTGAACCCATCACCCCTGAGATCCCCCATCCTGTGGCCAATCCCTCGGAGCAGGGTTGTGTGAGTCCCACTGGCAGGGGGGGCAGAAGGGCAGAGCAGCCCCATGGTCTCAGATGCCTGCCACTGATCTGATGACAGACTGACACCTCTGGGGCAGGGATTTCACATGTGAGCAGACACTGTTGAGCGTAATATAGATCCTGCTGGCACGAGTGTACCAAAATATAACTCCAGTGAATGCAGATGTCCTAGAAGACAAAACCAAACATATTTTTATACCTTATGCCATGAGGCTGTAAGTTACAATGTGTAGAACAACCTCTGCACTTGCACAGAGCCCTTGAGATTTCTTTAAATACCTCTGTTTCCATACAAGCAGAAATATTTTGCCCAAGGATTGTAATGTTCAAGACTGGTCAATGAATTCCTAAGTACCCACTTTGTGGCCAGTCCATGGCCAGACCTTATTGCTTAGCATTCTGTGAATGTGGGAATGGGAAAACTGATGCACAAGAAGTAAAAATAATGTTAACATTTTTGCTTGACTAAATCATTATGGGTAGCACAAAGGGCAACCACGGTTTTTCCCAGCAGATGCTGAAGTTACCAAGATCTTCTGGCCAGCAATGGGTAAAGAAAACCTTAAACAGAAGTTTCTATGTTTTATCCTGTAGCTGATTCTAATACTTTTAAAAAATAAGACTGTTTTCCTTTCACAGAGAACGCTGGCCTGAAAAGAAGTGTACTGCTCACAGCACTATTTGCCATCCATCTGGATGCTGCAGGTGCACAAGGCTGGTGGAAATTCTGCAGGTGAGAATTACTCTGTAATCCCATGGAGCTACACTACACTCTCTAGGTATCAGTACCAAAGGGAACAAGCCAAGGTGAGGCTCACTTTTAACAGGTACAGCCACTCATCAGCTAGGGCATAGCCAGTAAAGAAAATGACACTTGGCAAGAACTCTGATTTTTCTAGAGATGTTATTTGCCCCTTTCTTGCCAAGAACTATTCACTGAGCTATTTAAAGGTAATTGATTGCTGGCCTGTGTGATATCTGAGCAGCTGGAAAAACGGGGCAGATCCCATGAAAAGCCACTGAATCCATGCCACCTCAGGAGCTGTATTGCTGTCACTGCCCTAGATCCTTTCCTGTGATACCAAGCTGTCTGTGCTGTTCTTTTAGACACTGATGTTGAACAGACCTGGTAAGTCAAAGGTACAAACCCAACTGGAAAGCTTTGTCTCTGAACATTTGACAAAAGTTGTGCGTGTGTGCAACGGCAGCCTAAATTTGTGGCTTCTGACTGGCAGCAACAGCAGCAAGGCAAGGGAGAAAACCAAAGCTTCAGGTAGTCAGAACGCTATGCTTGGTAAGGTGTTGCTTTTGCTTTTTCTTTTTTTTCTCTCATGTTCCAAGGATTGGTGTCTGTTTAAAATACTTGGGCTATGTTAAGGTTTTTATCCCTTAGGCAGATAAGGAGATTTGGGACCTCACATTCCCAGTGTTCAGAAGCAGCTGTGATCCCCACAGCTGCTTGCTGTCAGATTTTGCCCTTACCCTCTTTTCAAACAGAGTAAACTAGTGAAGCTGGTTGTGGGACGAGTACAAAGTCTCCTACAAGTTCAGCAGGATGAGAGGAACACCACGAAGCAGCAAACCCTGTGGATATTCACTTGATTAACCAAGATTGCTCAGAGACCAAAGAGAAACCTGAGGCTGGCATGCCTCATGTGCCAGAAACATCTCTTCATGTAAACAAGAATTTAAACGGCGTGAGGGACATAAACTGTGTTTGTAAGCCATCAGAGGGAATAGATGTGTGGCAATAGGCCATACCACCAACTCTTGGAGCAGCTTGTGAGTGCCTCGTAGGTGCCAAATGAGATGAAAGATGGAAGTGCTAATGAGCTGGTCTGCAAACAGGATTTTGCAGCTGGCATCGTCAGGCTGCACCTGGCAGGAATCGCAAACCTGAAGGCAATAAACTAGAGTGGAGTGGGACACAAAAGGGGCATCGGTAAGTGTGTTTCTGGAGGAGTAGGAAGGCTCTTCTGGCAAGTTTGTCTTTGAGAAGCTTTGCACCAAAGTTCTTATGGAAAGAGGAAGCAAACAGATTGCATGTCTCCATCCTTGTGGTAAGTGGAAAGTCATGCCTGGCTTGTCAGAGCTAAGGAAAACCAGCTGTGTAGGGAAGCAAGCTTTACTTTTTGGTGCTGGAATGCCTGCTGAGAGGAGTAGGCATGGCTGGGGAGAGAGGGAAGCACAGAGGAGGACTTGGTCTCAGAGCTCACCACACCCTTTCCTGGCTGGATGTGTTGATCTCCCTGTGTCTTTGTTCAGATGGCTCCTTCCCACCACCTCCCTTCCGAAAGCTGGGAAGTTATTTCTCTCTTGGCCCATGCTGCAGACACTTGGCTTGGCCTTCAAGTGGCTGATTCCTGAGTGCTTACCAGGGAGATGCTCCAAACATCCTCCCAAGCCAAAGGGAAGGGCTGAGCAGCTCTGACAGGCTGCTGGGTCGAGAGAGGCACTAAGCTTGCTCTTCCTGCCCCTCCTCAAGGCTGGGGAGAAAGCCCAGGGAGCCTGCTGGGATCCTTCTTGGCACTGGACAGCCGGTAAATAGAATGTGGGTAGGAACTGAGGCTCAATGCTGCACATCTCCTGAAAGCAGGGAATATCTCTTTGCTCTCCTTGTTGCTTCAGCATCCACAAATCAATTCCTATAGTAAAAGATTACATGCCTGCCACTGCTGATGACTTGCTTATCTGTGTTTGTGTGCCTGCTGTCTGTCCCCAGGCAGAGCTAGCTGGTGTTCCATCATGGAACACCAGCTCCTGTTGTACAGGAGGGAGAGGGCTTCAGGTGAGGATTTATGCAATGCAAAGCTGTCAAGAGCCTCTTGGAATTGGAAATGGGTGGCGATGAGGGTAGAGAGAAAAGTTGGGAAGTGAGCTTTTCTTACCACGTCGAGTAACGTCTGTTAAATCCAAATACAATTTAGAAAAGTAGGTAAGCCTTTTGTGGTTAACTATCCCAAATGAACAATACTTTAATTTTTTCCTGGGGAGAGCATTCTGTATTTGGGAAGAAATTTAGCTGTCTGGCACTTGTTGTAATTAATTTGTGGCCAGTGAAGGGCTACAGAATTTGGCCTGTAATTAGGATATGACGGCCTACGGTACACAGGGTTGGAAAGTTGATGGCAAAGTGTTATATCTGCGAAGCACGTGTTTAAATGCTTTTGAATGGTATGGATGTTATCAGAGGCTGATTTCACTGAGGGGCTGTGGAGTCATCTTCTAAAACCTTTTCTGAAGGTGCTCAACCAATCCCTGCGGTGGCTTCTCCCACAGGTCTGGTTAGCCCTGGATGAGCCAGTCTTGTACCAAGAGACTGGGAGGACTGGGGTTAGAGGTTAGATGTGCAAACCTAAGAGCTTTCAGAGCTGTCAAGTCTGATGAGAAAGTTCAGACTGAGGCTTGGAAGGCAGTAAGGACAAATTCTAAAGGTATATTTTAAGTGGCAGATGGAGGTAATCTTGGACTAGATAACTGGTGTGTGCATATCAAAGAGGAAGGGAGGCAGGCAGGCACTTTGGGAACAAGGCTGGAGGCAGCTGACAGGGTCTGAAGGTCTGTGTGTGGAACAGATTCCATCTGTTTACTCCATTCTGCATCTCCCTGCACAGGCTTTTATGGTATTTGAAGCCGAAACTGCTGAGAAATCAAGCAAGAAACCAGCCATGACCCTGGGAGGATAAACCGCCAAGGCAAACTGAGGCTTATCACACGCAGCTGTGAAGGGACGGGTGGTTTGGGTGGGCAGCAAGCATGGACCTGCTCACACCAGTAGCAGCAGCTCCTGCTTTACATTTGCTGCTCTGCTTTCCAGCAAGTGGAGTTTTTGCTGGTTTCCCTAAGAGGAAAAAGAATCCATTGAAGGCAGAAGCCAGGTGTTCCCCTGGCCGTGCTGGCAGTGGCTGCAGAGCGGGGAGCTGGACTGGAAGGGAGGGACGGACGATGTGCCTTCACCCCACTGCTTGGACAGTGGATGTTCCCAAGCCATGCAGTATATATAATATCACAGTGCCCTCTTGGGGGCAGGTGTTCCTTGGAAATAGACCTTTATGATCTGTGTGCTGTGGATCTCGCTGCTCGTCACTGTTGTTTGTTCCTTGTGCTGCCTGGCTAAATTGTGGAAATTCCCACTGAACTCTACTCCTCTTTAAGAAGAGTTCAGAGTTTTGCCCTTGGGTTTTTATTTTTCTGTTATTTCTCTGCTGCTGATCTGCACTTTAAATCTAAAATGACTGGGGTGAGGAGCTCCTGAGTGAAGATGGCAGTCTGCTCTCAGAAATGAAACCTGTCTTGTTTCAACGCTGTCAGATGAACTTGGCCCCAGCAAGAAACAAATTGTTTTAACAGTAGATTTAATTAGCTAGTGTTTGTATTCCTTCACAGTGTGCTCGAGTCCTGGTGCACCTGCTGCTAGACCTGTCTGTAAGCCCTGGCATCTCCTGCACAGGAGTGTGAAGAATGACTGAAGCGTTAAATAGGGATGTGGGTAAGTGTAGCAATTCCCTGCTGACTGCTGGAACAGCCTGGAGAGGAGGGGACTGTGGTCAGTCTCTCTTCCCCTCTAGCTTTTGCAGCAACATCTTCTGTTAAATGTTAAAAAGGAATAAAATGTAAACAAAAGCACAACTTCCAGTAAGTGTTTGGGATGATTTTATGGGACCGTAGCTATATCACAGCTAATAGGCTCTTGATGATTTACTGTTGCCATTAATGCTTTGAATGTAGGGTACTTAAAACCAAATACTTTGGCTGTACTGGAGTCACTCTGACTCACACAAATCGGCCTTTACCCTCAGGCATCTAGTGACAGGACAAGGGGAAATAGTCTCAAGTTGCACCAGGGGAGGTTCAATTTGGAAATTAGGAAAAATTTCTTCACTCGAAGAGCTGTTGAGCATTGGAACAGGTTCCCCAGGGAAGTGGTGGAGTCACCATCCCTGGAAGTGTTCAAAAACTGAGTAGATGTGGCACCTCAAAATATGCTTTAGTGGGCATGGTGGTTTTTGGTCAAAGGTTGGACCTGATGATTTTGTGGGTCTTTTTTGTGATACAGACCTATCCTTTCCCTGATTCTTTATGTTTGTGGGGTTATGAAAGAATCTCTGTTTTACGGAAAATAGGAAATGACAAGCCTTTGCATTTGTGACAGTTTTTTCCTCCATGTACACATACAAGGCTGCATGTGTGGGTTTAGGGGTTGGGTTGGTTTGTTTTTGTTTGGTGTTTTGTTTTGGTTTTTTTTGGGGGGGGGCGGGGTCGTTTCTTTGTTTGTTTTTTGTTTGTTTGTTTGTTTTTTGCACAAATTTAGCTAGAAGCCTTCCTGTGGTGAGGATTCAGTTGAAATAGATTTGCCAACTGGCAGATGAGTCCATGACCCTAAAAGGTGGTTTCATTGAAAAGCCAGACTCAGATTGATGCTGAGGGCTTCCCTACCTTTTTTTCTATTTCTAGATCTAGTTTACTTCACATCAGAAATAGAATTTTCCTAAATGCCACACCTGAAAACTTGTTCTGGGCCATGCCAGTCAGTCTTTTGTGTTGCTGCTTCTCCCCTTCCCTCTTCTCATGTCATTATGCCCCTAAAGATAACACTTTTACAGGGCAGCCCTTGGACATCATCCAGCTATACCAGACAGCACACTCAGTTGGAAATATGGAGCATGGGCAAAAAAATCATGGTGTGAGGAATACTTATCCCACTAGGTGCAGTTGGGAAATGCTAGGATAGATCTTTTGCTTTCCTTGATCAGTAGCCCTTTGTTAGCCAGGAGCAGGGAGAAAACCTTGTATTTCTGAGCACACCTCGCTTTGTGTGGTGAAGCCTTTTTCCTTGCAAAGACAACTCTTGGTCTCCCCAGCTCCCTGCTTTCCTTCTAAGCTCTGACAAGGTAGGACACAGAATCTCTTCTTCGCTGGCTTGGTTTCCTTGGTTCTTGCTTGGCCTCAGACTCTATAAAGGCATCACCTGATTTCATTTTGCTGTTCAGTGGCCCTATTTTAAGGGTTGTTTGATTGCTACTTACTGGATCCTGCTCTCAGATTGTTTTAAATTCAGCAAGATTTAACTGCGTGGCCTGAGCTGGTTTGTGCCAGGCTGAGTATTTTAGGAAAGTATCTGTATTTTAGGAAAGTATCCTTTTTGTGGACAAGGGAAGAGGAGGAAAAACCTATTATTTGAGAGGCTGTGATAGTCTCGCAGGGCACAGTCTTGGCACATGGAGGAATGATAGCTTCTGCCAGGGACATGGCTTAAATCTGCTCAGTTCTGTACAGCCTGAGAGCCCACGAGGAGCAGAGTCCAGCCATGCCCTGCAGGCAGTGGTTCCAGGGTGAGCGTGGCAGGATCTCCTCCTGCAGCTGCTGTCAGGGCTCTCAGAGAGCAAAGCAGGGAGGTTGCTGCTGCTCACAGTGTCTCTGCCTCTGGCATGCAGGAGCAGGCTTTGAATTTTAAGCAGAGAAAAACCTCTCTTGTGCAACTGTTTTCTTCCCTCACAGTTGGTTTATTTATACATCTTTCAGATTTTTTTTTTTTTTTTGAGAAAGAAGTGGATTCAAATCCCCTTTTGCTGTCCCATCAAGCCTGTATCAGCAGGCTGCAAAGGTAGCAAGATGAGCAGGAGTGCAGTGATGGCATCTCTGGGCTCTTAGGCAATGCCAGAATTCTGGCAGTCACGGAAATCAGGCACAATCGGTTTGTAAAGACAGTAAATGTTTTATTCCTCTCAGATACTTGTGTGGCAGGTAGGTGTGACAGAGAGGCATCAGTGTGATCATTAAGGTGGTATTGTCTCCTTGCATGTTCTTACTTCTCCAAGTCACTCCAGTGTCCTGAATGCACAGGGGGCATGGAGAAGAACTGAGGAAGGGTTTCATCAGTAGCTGTCAGGGGCAGAAATAAATGACTTCAAGTAGTATAACTTCACTCAATTTGTACCTGCTTGTGCTGGCCATACCTTGTATTTACATGGTGCCACTGGAAATTATTTTTAAGTGTTAAAATTTAAATGAACATATGGTCCTGCAGGCTAAATCTGTTACCAGCGATAACATTTCCACTGTAGTTTGTTTCATAGAACCTCAAGAAAAGCAACTGATTGGAGTGATTTATTTTCAATCCCAAGGAAAAAAATAGCCTTAGAGCCTTTGTGAGCTCCAGAGGAAAAGCAACCACAGTGCTGGGCAGGCAATATCTGCAGTCACGGAAGTGACTGATAACAACTTTCTCATCTCATCACCTCACAGATAGGTTTTTGCTGTAGGATGCAGACATGAAAGAGTCTCTAGGGCCCTTCTGCCCTACGTGGGAGCTGCAACAGCAATCCTGGCACAGCTTGAGAAACTGGTCGGCTCTTAAGTCACTGTGTAAGAACCCTGTTGACTGATGAGGTTTGAGGCAGGCACAAGGACCCAGGGTGGGGTGAGAACTGCCTGGGATTTGGAAGGGGTAGTGTGTGGTGTGAATTACACCCACGGCATGAAGGGTCCCCGGGCACCCTTGTGTTTCATTTCACCCGGGTAAGTGAGAAGTGAATTGTTACCCTGTGCACATCTGGGCATGGCTCGTACTTCTGGGACACGGGTCATGACTGTGCCGTGACAGGCTGGTTGGTCACAAAAATAAAATGTGGCAGTAGCCATCCAGAGAGTCTTCAGATCTTGGTCACTTACCAGTTCCTCAAGTGGCTTCTCATGGATATTGCACAGCAGCACTGATGAAATTAGACCACTGCTATAGACAGATTACTTCACTGTGTAATACATCTGAGAAGTTGCTCTGGCATCAGCTGAGAAAGACTCTGTGGGCTAGTGAGGAAACAGTCACCACCTGTAACTAAGGCCTCCCCGAAAGGTGTGGTCAGACTGGGATTATGTGCAAGCAGCTTTTCAAAATGTTGATGCACATGATAATGGCTCTCTTCCCTCCTAGTGTCCCTTTTCCTGGGTTTCTTACACTCCCAGGTGAAAGCATCATCCCTTTGTAGATTTTACAGCTCCAGTTTCTGAGGGGGAATATTTGAAGGGGAGTTTCTAGATCTGAATTACTGAGGAAAAAAACATCTGTTTAGGAGATGAGGACTAGTTGTATCTCTTTTCCTGACTTTTCCTAGTAGGAAAATGCTCTTTATGCTTATAAGGAGGGGAATTTCCCACCTAGCTGCCTTGTTTTCAGCTTGGATGTTCTTTTGTCTCCTTACTGGCAGACACAGCCTCTGGCAAGGGAGAAACTGCTGTTTCTCCGGCCCCTCTGAAGTTCCTCCTCATCTCTCAGAATACCAAACATATCTGATAGCTCAGGCTTAACTGCAAGATGCCAATCAGGCAGTTTGCCCTCAGGAATGGGAAAAGGCCCTGAATTACGAAATCTTCAGTTATTCTGCTGCCAAAACTTGTGGATTCTCCCAGTGCTGTCGTGACCCCCAGGTGGAAAATGTCTTCCTGGCTGTCCTCGGCCAGGAGGCTCCTGGTGGTTTCCAGGCAGTGCATTTGCTCTCTAGCCCCTCTCCCCACTCTCTTTTAGAAGGATCTGATCTTTAGGCACTCTTGCTGTATCCTCCTAACTCCAAAAATAGGTGTCTCTGTCTAATTATGCTTAATGCTTCTGGGTGCATAATTGCAGAAGCCAGGCAAGAGTGCAGTCTCTTTCATCACAAATTGATCAACCTTTTCCTGCTCCGTTCCAGCTTCCTTGTGTTAACCGTGGCTAGATGATGGTGTCTGGGCTGATGTTGCTGAGGCAGACACGGGAACAGGAGCAGCGTGTCCTGCAGCTCCCTCTCCTGTGCCTGCCCCCTGAGACACATCATCATCTGCTGTAGCTGGGAGACTTGCTGGGCAAGATGCTGGGTGGGCAGCAATTATCATTGGCCTCGTTCCTGTCTCTCCTGCACACCTCCTGGAGGAACTCTTATCACAGGGCCATTTCACAAGGCCTCCTTGTAGCTGTGAACCTCTGCTTTTCTTCTTGGATCAACCTCAAAGGGCATTTTACTTCCTTGCTTCCTAGCACAGAACTTGTGTGGGCACACTGGTGTTTCCAACCCTCTGCTGCAAGGCTTGGAGGGACCTTTCAGTTCCTCAGATAAAATATTCTGGGGAAACTCTGCTACGTGTTTTCCCAGTCTCTGAGATACGTGATGTGATTTCTGGGGTTGTTCCGTGCAGAGCCAGGAGTTGGACTTGATGATCCTTGTGAGTCCCTTTCAACTCAGGATATTCTGTGATTCTACAAGGTGGCTACTGTCAGGGACAAGGAAGGGCACTGGAAAGATCTCTTACCCAGCCTGGCTATTCTTGCATGCATGTTGTGCTGAAAAAGAAAAAAAAAAATAGCTGCTGGTTGTTGTCATGGTGTTGCCTCCAGCTTCCTGTTTCACTCTGCTCTGCGTGGGCAGATGTCACCTGTTTTCTTTCTAAGGTGACTGTCACCAGTGCTGTAATTCTCAGCTAATGCAGGAGACCCTAACGAGTGACACCTGATGTAAAACCAGTCCCCTGCAGCTCTGCACCTGCCTGGGAAGCTGCATCTTAGACAGCCTTTGCTTTACTGCCTCTACCCGACACAAGCCCAAGTGTTAAAAATTAGAGCCTTTGATTGAAACCTGCCAGAAATTATGTCTGTTTCTCACTGCCTGCCCAAGCCCTCCCTGGAGACAGACCTATATCCAGTGTGGATGGAGGTTTGCAGAGGGGCTCTGCAGAGGTCAGGTGGACCTACCTGCCTCCCACGCAGCATTTCTCCCTGCACGGGGTCTCCAGCTGGGCAAAAATATTGCTGTTACAGGAGATTTCCTTTTGGTTGCCCCTCCAGGGGCAGCTTTTCTGTAAATAATTAGCAAAGAGCAGCTTTCCAGTTGTCTAGGGGAACATCATCCTAGCTGCTGCAGGATGGGCAAAGGGAGGACTCATCCCTGCATGGCAGCACAAAGGAAAGCTGGCTGGGCTGGGGCACCAGCGAGGGCAGGGGGAAGATACTGTTGAAAAAGGAGGTTGGTTTTGGCCGTGCTTCATGCTGGGAGCCTATGAGGAGGGTTATCATTTATCATCGGTCTTTAGGAGCTTGCTCTACACCCTTCCTTTGGGCAATCAGAGCCACTTTGTAATTCACCAATTTTGGCCTTTATAAGATTTATTTTTCTGCCAAACTCTTGTAGGAAGGGAGAATCTGGGGCAGGTAGGTAGCTTTAGGAAGCATAAACCTCCTGAACTGAAAACAAGTTGTCTTTATCTCCTGTTCTAAATCTCTCACTTCTCCAATGACCTCTCTGACAGATCCCCAGGAAGCAAAATAAACATGGGGTTTGGACTGGTTCATTCTGCAGAACAACTACTTGCAAAATCAATGGTGTGTTGTTTTTCTTCTCCTTTGCTGAAGCCAGAAATAGGTCAGGCAGCAAACCAGCGTTTCTGAGGCAGCCAGGAGTGACTGGTATACGCAGGTGTGTTTCAGAGGTGGCCTCTCTCTGGGGTTAATGCTCTGCCTAAAATCCCCTCATCTCCCTTCTGCTAGAAGGAGGAGGAAGTGAATTGTTTGCAGCAGAGAAATGAAACCACTTAAGATTTCCTTGAACAAAGAGGGTAGGTTTTTCAATAGAAAAATACATCTGGTACATCCTCCTACAAGGCACTGTGTCCGTGACACTCAGCTCTGCTTGTTCATGCCTGACGTCTGTGCTTGGGAGCCTCAGCCCTTCACTCAGACCCCCTCTCATTAACACTGTACCTTGCCTGCAGTTAGGCTGTGCAAGGCAGAAAATCTTCTTAATGGAAGTGAATAAAAGAGCCTTGCATTGTATTCTGGATCGCATATGGGGTTGTCAGGTCTATTCTAAGTCACGTTAAAGTTAATATGGTCACAGCAAGACAGCAATATTCACAGTATTTTAGGTCTACTCTTCAGTAAGGTTGTCCCACTTAATTTCCCTTGGAAAAATCCTAGCCCTGGTGATTGGCTTTATTTTCTGCAGATCTTTCAGCTCTCTGCTTGTCTCTTTCGAATGTCTGGCAGCATTTTCACTGACACAGGCTGTAACAAGCTGCTGCATTGGGCTTTCACAAGCAGTCACTGCCTTGGAAAAAATAGGGGTCTTTGTTTTCCCATGTGCCATGTGTCCCCCTGATAGTGAAATCAACTCTTCAGAGCACACAGTCAGGGCATGAGGGTGACAGCCCACAGATCATTTGGTATCACTCCTAATTGTTGGGGCAGCAGAGGAACAGTAATTAGACACATGAAATGTTCTATTTCCTACCTCTGCTGTGGGGTTTGTAATATCAAACTGGCTTGCTTGAAAGGGTGAGTTCCTGGACCTGAAACCTGGGAGACACTGGGCAGCTGCCACTGATGTGCATGGGTTGAAAGCTGCAAAAATGTCCCTCTTTCCACTTCCAATTCATGTCAGATTGCGGAAGTAGCTTGAGGTTTTTCTCCACCCAAGGTCATAGGATATAAAAGCAAACAAACCATCAGCCTGTTTTGGAAAATGCAAATGAGAAACCTGCTTTATCACAGCATCTGAATGGGAGCTGCTTGCAGAGGAAAGCTAAGCGAGCCAGAGATGGGAAATGGCCTCCCAGGGCTTTCACGCTGCTGACACGTGGCTCTGTCACCAAGGACTATTTGCTAGCACAGATGCGGTGACAGGCCCCTGAGAGTCCTTTCCTTGCCAGCTCTTCAGAAGATACCAGAATAGCTCAGACAACACCTCATGAGCTCGTGCTTCCTTCCACATGCAGGTCCCTTTCAGCATGTCCCGTGTTGGCTCTGCAGGCTCTTGCACCCCAGCACACAAACAGCTCCCTCCAGTTCAGAGAATACACACCTAAGTTGAGCTTTCTCCAGTGTCACTTTGCAAATTCTCCTCTCTTTGAATTGTTGCATGACAGAGGTCATGACCAAACGCAGTGTCAGAGAGAAGCTCATTTTTAGCTCCGTTCGTATTTGGTGTGATCAGTGCAACGTCACTTTCTTTTTGTGGAACCCGTGGGCCAACTACATGCAAAGAACAGAGCTTTTACCTGCTCCTGTTGTTATTGATGGTCATTACAGCAGGCACAAGGAACAGGCAACAAGACTAAGATCCCATTGTGATGCACACTGCATGAACAGTGTGTTACACTGGCCCTGCTTTGTATTAGAGTCTAATTATAGCCTGTCACAGTCAACAAACCATTTTTTCTATAATGGAAACCACACATGCTGTGTATTACACAGTGTGCTGAAAGATATTGTGAGAGCTGAAGAGCCCCTGACTTCTCATTTATGATGAATTTTTGTTAGTATGTATAATTTATCTATTCAATAAAGGGTAGTTATTCCCGTATTGGCCTACAGGATTTTAATAAAGGGTAACTGGGGCCTGACAACCTTCTTTAAACACCTACTTAAAAAGTAACAGATGTTAGGCTAGCATGAATAACATTCTGTGAACAGTTTTTTTTGTTGGTGTTTTTTTTTTCCATTTTGTGTACCTCCTTAGCCAACCCCAGCAGTGAAGGAGAGCCTTTATTTACATAATTATTAGAATTTTGATGATTGAAGTCCTTGCCTTGTCCAGCCTCAGTGTCTCGATGGGGTGTGATCTCCTCCTTTGCTGTTCTCCCAAGGTACATCTGATTGTCAGCAGGCTCAGGGCCCAGTTCTTCAGTCAGGGACTGTAAAACTAACACTGTTAACAAAGCCTGGAAAGGTGTGTGGGGTGAGAAACATGTGATGGTGTTTTGTCCCTGGGCTTTGCCACGAAAACTTCTATACAAAGGGGTTTGCTCCTTTTTTGTAGTTGCTAATTTGATATTTGTATCAGCACTGCAGTTTGTCCTTTATATCCTGGTATTCTGTGGGGGGAACAAGAAAGGATGCTGCTTGTTTGTGAGCCTAAAGCCCAAGGAAAGAATCTGATGAGAAAGCTTTGATAGCAGAGAAGTGTCTGGGGACAGGGGGAAGGAAATGGGCAAATATTAGCAAGGAGGATATAGACAAGCATGGGAATGCTCTGAAATGCCAAGATTTTGTGTGAGTTTGGAATTTGTTTGATAACTGAATTAAGTGACTGTGAAGCACAAGCACTTGGGCAAAAGCAGATCAGCAAAGAAGTCTCTGCATAACAGCAGCTTCCAGCAAAATCCAAACAACAAAAAACCCTGGGAGACCCAGACCTGGTGTTCACCTTCCCTGTACTATCTGCAGCATCAGGGGACTTGCTTGTAGCTTGATGTACCAAAGAGATTTGTGCTAGAGCTCCCTTGCTCAGACTGTGCTGCGAGGCAGGGTCTGTGATCAACTTGCTCTTCCCTTGGGACTTCATCTCTCTGAAGTCAAAGGGAGTCTCTGCCTTACCATCAGCTTCACAGACTTTGGAGCAGGCTCTGGAGCTTGTCCTCAGCCAGCTGAACCCCATGCAAGTTCTAAAGCATAACATTTCAAATTGGTTTCTTGTTTCCCAAGGCTGTGGACAGTCTTATGTGAAAGACAGAGCTCAGGGCTGGAGGCTGAGTCTATTCCCAGAAGAGCAAAGGGGCTCAGAGCAGAGTGGGGGCTGCAGGAAGGGCAGTACTGGCTCCAGATACACCTGCCTGCCCCTCATTCTGTCCTAGATCTCTGTGGGGAGCTGGCAAATGAGGTCCTGTGACGCATCTCACCCGAGTCAGAGCTAAGTGGTTTCAGCAGTAGCGGTAGGAGCTTATCATCACTGTCTCCTCAGGTGTCAGCACCCAGAACAGAAGCAGGTCAGGGGATGATGCTGTTGAGCTGCTGTGGGCAAAATGTGGCAGATAGGGTGAGGATATGTAAGCTGTGCTCTGTTCCATCCCCACAACTGCCCCTATTCTACACTTAGTTCCAGGTGAACATTCCCTCCTCTCCCTGCTAGGGAACTGGTGCTAGCCTTTTACCTGTGCCTGAGTTGGCTTTTAATTCGTGTCTCACTGAGGAGAAAAGAGGATGATGACATATCACTCCTAAGCATTGGCTACTGCTCTTTTTTACACAATTATTTTTAAGGCAGTAACCATTTTATACAGAGCTAAATCCAGCTGAGTAGCATTAAAAGGAAGACAATATTTAATGCAAAAGCACAACCTCTGTAGAAAAAAGGGAGCAGGCTTACGTTAGATATTAGGAAGAAATGCTTTACTGTGAAGGTGGTCAGACACTGGCACAGGCTGCCAAGAGAAGCTGTGGATGCCCCATCCCTGGAAGTGTTCAAGGCCAGGTTGATGGGGCTTTGAGCTACCTGGTCTCATGGAAGGTGTACCTGCCCATGGCAGGGGGGTTGGAACAAGATGATCTTTAAGGTCCCTTTCAATCCAAACTGTGATATGATTCTCTGAAAACAGTGTGATGTGTAAGACAGACAAGGGTTGCTCTAAATCAGCCTCTTTCCATTCTGGCCCTATTGTCAGTCAAGATGCACAGGCTGTTCTCTGGCAAAACCACGTGAAGTTAAACTGATTGAGAATGATATGTGAATTTGACCATGTAGTGAGACTGATTTCATCTTTTTAGATCGGCAGTGTGAAATGGGAGCTGACAAGCGCACAGCTCTCACAAGCATAGCATTTAGCATACAGGTGAATACAGATTTAGGTGCTAATTGTTCTGGCCTTTAAAAGGAATGGCGGTATTGTTAGGAAGCTAGTAGTCACTGCTGTAAGTCCTCTCTGATTCAGCTTTGCTATCATTTGGAAGGAATGCTGGAGAACAGCATTTCCCAGGAAAGCTTGAAAGTTAGAAATAGCCACTGTGGAGACCTCATTGTGGCCTTCCAATACATAAAGAAGGCTTCCAGTACTGTAAAGAAGGCTGGGAACAGACATTTTAGCAGGGCCTGTTGTGATAGCACAAGAGGTAATGGCTTTAAACTAAAAGAAGGCAGATTAAGACCCCATGATCTTGCCTCAGGTTTTGGTGGCAGTGAGATCTTTATTCCATCCTGCAGCTTCTGCTTTGTTCGGGTCACTTTGTTGTCTGCTCCCCATGACAGATGAAGACGTGTTCAGTGTGTTTAGCCCTAGTTTAATGCTTTCCTTGTAGCTATCTGATGAGCATTATTTACCTCTGCTGGGTGTACTTCTCTTGCTGTATTTACATCAGTGGTACAGCTGTTCTGGAAATGGCTACTGTGTTTGCTGTTGGACATAAAATACAAGAGCTACTGACCAAAAAAGCCCCTCTCCCCTTGCTCTGATTCTGTCCTTTTGTGCTTTACCGTTGCTGCAATATTTCCATTATTTCAGATACATCTGAAAGTATCGTATTTTGGCACAGTTCAAATCGGAAGATTAATCCATCACTGGAAAACTCTGGCACGCTCTGCAGCCTGCGAAAACCTTTGTGTGGATGTGCTTCGGGTCCCTGTCTCTGCATGAAGCCGGCTCCTGATGAGCAAGTCCCTTCTCTGCAGCCCCAGGCTGCCAGGAGAGGGCAGGCAGCTGCCAGCAGCCCGCTGGAGGATGAGAAACCCTTCACACGCAGCTAAGAAATGTAAATCCACAAAATAGATAAAGGCAGAAAAGCAGAGTATCAAGTGACATCGCAGCAGGTCTAATGCCTGCCTGCTCATCAAAATTATAGAAGCAGAAAAGTCACACAGGTTTGTGGCATTTCCAGGCACGGACATGAACTAACAACCAATATCCAGATACCTGCCATGCTTAGGGATTTTTTAAAAAATGAATCCAGCATCACAGCTTGAGCCTTCCTTTAATTGTTTCTAAGTAATATTTCTTTGTTGGCTCCTGGAGATGACCTGCAGGCTCTCTAGTGTGCACAGACACCCAAAGACTGACGAAAATGAGGTGGAGAGTTATTTTTTTCCCCTGACTTCTCAGATGAACAGGGGCAGGTGAGCCAGAACTTCTCGCAGGTGGCTGAGCAGACAGAGGGGTCGGGTTCTGTAGCTCTGGTATCGTTTCCCACAATCAGTCGTACTTCCCTTGCCCAGGTGCAGCCTGCCTGCTGCAGCAGAGATCTGGTAAAGGGCCAGTGAGTCCTTCATGCCCCTGCTAGAGTTAAGGCTGTGGGGAGCAGTAGGCTCAGCCTAGCAAAAGCTTAAAGTCCTGCTCCAGATTTTCTCTATTCAGACTCGAGGCATGTTCTTATTAGGCTGATTTTTAATCTACCCAAAGGTGTTGTTGAAGTTGCAGATGAACACATGCACCTGTTTGTGTACAGGCACTTTGAACACTGAGCCCCCAAATGTCAGGGCAGAGCTGCTGCAGATTCCTCTCGTGTGCCTTTGCAGTGAACCTTCGGTGGCCCCGCCCACCCCAGTAAGTCTGTGTTAGCAGGGATCCCCTCATTGCATCCTGACATTTATATTCAGGGAAAGACAGTTTTTGTCAAACCTATCAGTGAATCTCCTTCTGAGGAACTAATACAGCAAATCCTACAAACTCTGTGTTTTCTGCTGGCTCTGACTTTCCATAGTTCACTGACTTATAATTACACACAGTATGCTGCTACAGGGGCTTCTGTTTCACAGAGGATAGCTGCTAATAGGGCTTCAGTGTTTCCCCTTGCATGCCTTGGAATTTAATTAGAAATTAAGGTATAACCTTATATTACATAAGCTTGGTTAGCCAGGTAGATCCCCTGTCTGCTGCAAGGCAATGCCAGTCACCTGGGCACCTCTGGGTATGACGTCTTGCTGTGCCCACAGTCAGGATGAGAGTGCCTCTAGGCTCGGGCAGAGCTTTCAGGGCACTTGAAGTGACCTCAGAAACTGAGCAACATGTTGGTCCTTTGCAACTGAGTCTCGTGTGCTCTGCTGCAGCCTGAGGTGAGCTCAGTGTGTGATGAAAGGGGTGCACTGCCTCAAACAGGTGTGATCCAGTGCTCACCTGCAGTTTAGATGGGTTTTAGGATGCAGCAGGGCTTTTTAGGATGCACCATTAGAGGGTGGGTTTTTAGGAGCAGCACTGGAAACTGAGGATCTAGCAGAGTGAGTGAGCAGGATTGTAGTACAAATCTACTTAATAATACAAAATAATAATGCTAAGACATTGTTTCGGTGCTTTGTGATAGAAAAAATCATTAGCTTACAGCACAAACAAATGAAAGATCATGGATGATTAAAATTGTATTAAAGCACACCAATGATACTGGCACCACAGACATCTCTGCAGACTATTTGAACAGTACATTAAACAAAGTCAATCATTTCTTCATAATAATGGTATTTACAGTAACACAATAGGAATGCAAGGCATTTCACTGCAGGCAGCCTGGTGTTTAAAAATATACCTAAAGCCTTAATATCCAGAAAGAATAGGTACGGTCTATGCTCAAAAAATGGTTAACACTACAGTTCAGTTTTCAGATGCCAGGCTTTAGTATAATAAGCAGTAGCAAAGGAAATTAAAATGAGGGAGGACGTTGAACAAGGGCTTTAAAGAGAGGATTTGCTATAGAGAGTTTAGAGCAGGATGATTTTGATTGTGTTACTGTACGAGATAAAATGAAGCTGGGGGGATTCATAATTATTAATGTCGCTAATCCACGAAAAAGAATTTAAAGATAAGATGATAGAATATTATTTGCAACTTCAGGCAAAGGTTTCCTATTTGTGGTCATTATTACTCACCTTCTTTGGATCCAATTAAAAAAAAAAAAAATCCAACAAGACATAGCTCTGTTTCTGCACACATCAGGAAAGGAAAGCTGAGAACTTCTTTTGCTGTCAAGGGCTAAACTCCCTTCTAACTGGATGACTTTGTGTGTGTATGTGAAAAAGGAGGCTTCAAAATTGGGCTACAAATGTGTTAGTAGCCCCAGGAAACTTTAATATGTACTAGAAAAGAACCAGTGCCATGCCACGTACTGAGATATTGTGAGGAGATAATCATTTCCCTTCCCTCTTTTGAGGATAAACAGGAGACACTGAAAGATACAAAAATCAAGAAGGGTTAAACAAATTAAAGGAATGCTTAAAATTTATCTGTGTAAATCCTTACCAATAAATACTTTATGTAAGAGGTTGGAACAGTACAGGAGAGAGCATAAAGTGAAATTCTTAGTTGTTGTCCTTGAATTGCACCAGCCCCATGTGTGTTTGCCTCTTCTCTATTTAATAATTGCCTCTTCTGTTTGGTATTTTTCTGGAAGAACCTGTACCTTTTCTGTTTTGTTTTTTTGCTACTGCTTACTTACAATTTTGGGTTGTTAGTCTGCTCTGTGATGAGAGATCCCTTACTCCAGTTACCTGATAAAAAAACCAAACACAACCCAGCAGATTAAATTTTTAGATCTTTTCATCTGCTTTTCATTCGCAGGTACAGATCCAACTGATAGTGAGGCTGAGCTAGCAGAGCCTCATTGTGTGTTTGGCAAAACCTTGTCTCTGCTGTTCCAGTCTGCTGGGGCTTTTCCTGCTTCCCAAGCTGGTCTCTGCCAGAGCCTCAGCACACAACCCAAGACCACTGCAGGGCAGAGGTCTGGAATCAGCAGCCTCTTCCAAAAAAGCACCAGAGCCCCCTGAGGCTGATGTGGATAGCAGATGTGGAATGCTGCTGGGATCCACCTTGAAATTCACTACAGTAGGTACTTTCCACCTCTCAGCAGCAAGGCACAGAGTGAAGGAGCAGATTTGCAGTGAGCCCTATCCAACAGTGTCATCGGTCAGCATGTCTGTGATCCCCCATACAGAGGGAACAAGTGCTTTTTGACACCACAGGGAGGCTAAACTTCTTGATTCTGGGTTTATCAAACATTGCTTTGGGCAGGTGGAGGGGCCAGATGTTGATCTGCACTATACCAGTGGAATGTTGATTATGGGTGA